ACTCGCGGACAAAGTCCAGCTCGCGGTTGGTGGGTACTGCGATCGGACCGAAGCACAATGATTGAACTCCAGCTGATTGTTATTTAGGTACGCCGCTCCATCCCACACTGGGTTCACCCACGCGTTCCCTAGACGAGATATACGAGCGACTTGGAGATCTAGCATTCTCAGCAGAGTTCAAATACGACGGCCAGCGCGTGCAGATACACGCTCAACGGACTGCAAAGGAGGGAGAAATCATTGTTAAACTATTCAGCCGACACCTTGAGGATATGACACCAAAGGTGAGCGGCTAATGTCAACGGATCGACTTGAGTCTGGCTTAACTGCTACGAATATAGTATCCGGATATCGTGCACATGGCAGAGACGTTGATCACTCAGTCGGACTCACTGAATTCGTTCATCCTTGACGCGGAAGTGGTCGCAGTCGATCCGCACACTGGCTCTCTTCGAACTTTTCAGGAGCTGTCCAACAGACCTCGAAAGGACGTGAGTCTCAAAGACGTAAAGGTCGTTGTATGCGTATATGCATTCGACTTGATGTATTTAAACGACGAGGTACGTACATCTTTCCTTCTTCATGAGATCATCCTAAGTATTTTGGAGCAGCCCTTGCTAGGTAAATCGTTTCGAGAACGACGTCAATTGTTGCGCGATAACTTTCCCCCGTTTGTTCCTGATGATCCGTTCTGTTCGAGACTTGCTCATGTGCAGAGCGTGGAGAGCGAGTCTGGGCGTGAGGTTGTGGAGGAATTTTGGGAAAGGGCTGTGGAGAGTCAATGTGAAGGTCTTATGATCAAGGTGAGTCGGTGTACCTGCCAACCTATGATAGAACACTGAGGTGCATTTGTAGCTGCTTGATAGTGGCGAAGTGCTCGAAGCCGACGAGGAAAACCCAAAGGCGAAAGAAAAGGGCAAGGGAAGGAAAAAGCCACTTCCGGCGACGTACGAACCAGGTGAGCACCACCGTCCAAGAATGCAACCAATAACTCAATACCGATACGTAGACAAGCGTACGTCGGCATGGTTGAAACTCAAGAAAGACTACGTCGACGGTCTAGGCGATTCTCTAGACTTGGTACCCATCGGTGGGTGGCACGGCATCGGACGCAAGGCCGGGTGGTGGTCTCCGATTCTTCTAG